CTGTCCTCCCCACTGTGGACCTCTGTCCTCCCACTGTAGACCTCTGTCCTCCCACTGTAGACCACTGTCCTCCCACTGTAGACCACTGTCTGCCTGCTGTGGACTACTAGAACACTGAAAAAAAAATTTGACAAAAATATTTTCAAATGGTGTATAACAGGCCGTGCAGGATCATGATCCTTGGAAGACTGGAAAAAAATGAGTTGGGCCCTATCATTTCCCTGACTTTCTTCTCAGAAGCGTTCTCTAGGTTTCTGTCCAGGGAGGCAGAGTCCAGGCAGGAAGGAGGCAGAAATCAGCACCAAGGCAGCTGGAATTTTTGGAGCAGAGTGCCTGAGAGGTAAGAGCTACCCAGAGAAAACAGTACCAGAATCTGCATAAGGATTCCACCTAGTTTTTGCCGAATGCTATCCCGAGTTTTTGCAGAATGCTAAACTGGCTGTGCAAAGGGGAATACTTCACGAAGTTAGGCAGAGAACAGCTTACCAGGGAGCTGGACAACGCACAGAGCTCACAGGACTGGGAGGCATTTGATTTCTGACCAGTTAAGGGGGAGAGAACTTGTATTTATGTGTGTGTGTAGATATAGATATATCATATATATCTATATCTACACACACACACATTTTATAAAAGAGAGCAAATTTGTTTTGAATAAATCCAGAAGTAAAAAGTAGAATTAAGTTATACGAAGGTAGATTTTGGCCCAACCAAAAAAATATTCTAAATTAAGGGCTGCTTAACAATTTAGTGGTCAGGAGGCAGTAAGCACACTGGATCTGACAGGGATGTTTTACTAGATCAGTTAACATATTGTTTAGCCATTCATATATTCAAACATATTTATGATTGTCTTTTACAAATTTTTTTGTGGTAAAATATCTATAACAGGAAGTGTTCCATTTTAAGCATTTTGAAGTGTAGAATTCATGTTCTAAACTTGTCTTTATCTACTGATTATGTGTCAGAGAGAAACGAAAACACAGTTTATTTCCTGCTTCCAAAGAATTTGCGATAAAGCATTTTATGACTCTCTGATCTCACCCTTGCTCCTCATTCCTGACACTCATTTATTCAACTGGTATTTGTTGAGCGCATGCAATGTATGAGCCACCGTTCTAGGCGCTGAGGATATATCAGTGAGCAAAACAGACAAACCCCCTGCCCTCGTGGAGCTTACGTTCTAGAAGGGAAGCAAAGGAGAAACTCATGTCCTGAGCTCTGTCCACGCTGCCTTTTCAGTATCTCTTGCATGAGGCCCTTCTTCTCCATCCTCGAAGCCATGACTATGCCAAGGAGTTTTTCTCATTTATCTCAACAACGGCAGTGGCACTTAGATAACCTCCTCTTTAGTCTGTCCCACACCCTGCTTGCAAGTTAATCTTTCTCAAGCAATGGTTAATCAGCTGACCTCTGCTGGCCCTACTGCAGGCAGAAAGGAATACAATTGCATCAGGAACTTTGGACAAGCTCCTTAGCCTGGCTTTCAAGGGCCTTTGAGATCCGGTAGCAATCAACCTTTCCAGGGACATTTCTTATTCTCTTTCACATCCCCTTAGTTCCAGATAACACTTTGCACTGCTCCCTGCACCTGCCTCACAACTTCCCACGACCGTCTCTTTGCTTTTGTTGTTCCTTTGACCTTGATGACTCTTCTCTATTTCTGAATATCCAAAGCTTGTCTCTCCTCCAAAGTCCAGGTCAAATACCTCTGCGTCTACAAAACTTTCCTCGATCCTCTTAATATCTCTCTCCTCTGAAGTCCTAGCACTTAGCCCGCACTTGTTTACCGTCATTTATGTAACACTTCATATAAGCATAGCCCGTAGCCTCATTATAAAGACACACTCTTCCCTAATGGTTGGTTTTAGCTGCAGTCCAGGTGGCCCTTGACTCATGGCAACCCGTGCTCTACGGGATCTAACCGCTGTGCTCCATAGGGCTTTCACTGACTGATTTTTGGAAGTAGATGGCCAGGCTTTTCTTCTTAGTCTCTTTTAGTCTGGAATCTTCCCTAACAGAGTACAGGATTTATAATGCAGAATTCATGTCTGATGTATTTTGTTATTCTCCATGCTGTGCACAGATATTTCTTGAATGATTGAAGTAGAAGACTTGAAAGTGAATTCTAAATTAATATTTACTGTTTAAGAAATGCTATGAAAAGCACACTCATTTGCCTCCTTCTGCAAAAAGAAGCGCAAACTGCATCTTTTGAGTGACTTGCTTATGGAAAGCAGTTGGCAAACAGCTTTATCCTCATTGAAGGTATCAAACATCTCTACATGAAAGGCTAGCAAGGTTATGGGCCATGCCCTGGCTCTCACAGAGGGCTTAATCAAAACCTTCCAGAGGCAACAGAATCCCAAGTGTCACCTTGGGGGACTACTGACTAAATTACTGGCCTGGTATAGACCCACCTGCAAATCTGAACTCCGTGTTTGAGTGAAAGCAGAAAAGGGGTGGATATTCCCATTTCAGCCTCCCTGCCTTTGCTCCTGAGGATGGTATTTCCGGAAGAGCAAACCCTACCTGAGCAGGCGACGTGACAGTGGTTCTTCTGCTCAACCTTCCCACTCCGGCACCACGTGTAACTGTTGATCTGAAAAATGCCGTAGTCAATGCTGCCGTCATCCAGCACCTTCTGAGCCGTGGTGTTGTAGTGACTCTCGTAGTACGCCAGGCAGACCCCTGGGGGTGAGAAACCACAGAAAGCAGCCGAAGAAATGCACTGCTGTCTAACCCTGCTCCTCAGGAGAGTTCCCTTATACATGGTGTCTAAGTCTTCCCTCCCAACAAAGCTTAGGGTGACACAGGGCAGATAGTGTACCCACGGGACACAGGGGGAGACTGAGATACCGAGGCACATGGATGCATATCTGAAGCTGCACACCTACTTAGTGGTTAGCCATTGAGTTGATGCTGACTAATGGTGACCCGGTGTATGTCAGAGTAGAACTGCTCCACAGGGTTTTCAGAGGCTGATTTTCCAGAAGTAGCTCGCCAGGCCTTTCTTCTGACGGGGTGGATGTGACCCTCCAGTCTTTCAGTTAGCAGCTGAGCATGTGAACCATTTGCATCACCCAGGGACTCCATGGCTAATCTAAACTAGACTAATAAGTCCCGCCCCTGAGCCTGGGACCATGCCAACAGGAGGGGCATTGTTCTCCCCCTCCCTTGTCGGTGTCCTCAGTACAGTGAGGACATGGGGGCGGGGGAAGGAAGGGGACGAGGGCCAGAAAGCAGCACTGGAAGAGAACGTACGAATACCTCGCAGCCATCCCTGTTCGGGCAGAGAACAGAAAAGCTGGGAACGAGTAGGAGGCAGTGTGGATGGGGCATTCACTGTCTCGGGGGAGAGATTAAGGGCAGAAAGAGAATGAGAAGGAAGAAATCTCACAGTTTCCGAGGCTAAAACCCCGGTAATTGTCCAGGCCAGCCCTCGAAAATATTTTTGCCAGTTTACAGCGAGTGTAGACTTTAGACTCGATGACCGTGGCCACACAGCCTATCAGGGCCAGGACGCCGACGGCCTTCATCCCTAAGGCCAGCTGGAGGCAGAATCTGTCAAAGAGCAGGAAACAGGTCAGCCAGTCTCACGTTGTCCTGAGGTTAAACCCGTCGCCAGTGGGAACTTCACAATCTGGCAGCCCAGGTTGTGGAAGGCCCTGCCTCGGTATTTTCTGCAACTTTTAATCATTCAGAATCACCATCAAGGAAAAAAGAAAGTGCAAAGAGTATATAGAACAAGGAAGGATTAGAATTGCAGGCTCTTTCCTTAACACGCTTCCAAGTGGTTATTTTCAAGTCGATGTTATGCTCCTAGGATCAGGCTAGTAAAGAAATTAACCCTCATTGACCTCAGACGGAAACCACAGTATATTTCTAGGGTTTCCATTTTGACTCCTTCTGTGAATAGAAAACAAGAGTTAAACATTCCCTGTATATGCAAACCAAACCCAAAAACCAAACCTGTTGCCGTCGAGTCGATTCCAACTTACAGTGACCCTGTAGGACAGAGTAGAACTGTCCTGTAGGGTTCCAAGGAGAGGCTGGTGGATTCAAACTGCCAACCCTCTGGTTAGCAGCCAAATGCTTAATGACCACACCACCAGGACTCCATATGCAGAAATAGAAACAGATAACCCAGTTTCAGCCAGAGATGAAATTCATGTGGGTCTCCGCGGACAACTTTTAAGATTCATTGTTTGGGAGTTTATTGAAAGAGGATGATTAAGAACTGTCTTTCCTCCATTCTCTTCTCTTGATACTTTTCCAAATGTGAGAGTATTGTTTCAAAAATATCAGTCTTTTATCACAAATGCAGTGTTTTTATTTTCTGGGGGCCACAGCACTGCTTCATGCGGTCTTCCAAAAGTCTGGGGTCTCACTGGTGAGCAAGAGGGGGATGGATGATAATTGGTCAAAAGAAGAGGCAACTGTTGGGTGGTGGGGGTAAAGGAGTGAGAAAGAGACCCCATGGAGTTACATGAAATTGGAGCAGGATCAAGAGCCCCGTTCCTTGTCAGCTACTGTTTTTCCAGAAGCTCTTCCTCTCTCGAAATAATGTCTTCCCCAAACACAACAACCTTGCTGGAGTGGAAGTAGAGTGATATTTCTGATAACTGCTCGTGATATTGAACCTGATATTCTTACATATTTTCATCTAGTATCATTTTCTGCACCTGCCCAGAGATTTCTGAAGTTATTAGAAATTTCTCCTCTTGGGACTAGGTTCCCCAATTGAGAGGATAGGTTCAGATCAGCAGGGCCAGAGCAAAGAATCCCTATGGCCACAAACGTACAGGAGCTTTAAAGTAACTAAGCAATAAGATAACTATACTTCACATGGGATATGCAGAGTAAAAACATTTGAATAGCAGAGGTCAGCAAACTCGGCCTGCTTTTGTAAATAAAGTTTTGTTGGAACAGAGCTCCATCATTAGTTTATGTATCTATGGCTGCTTTTGCCCTACAAAGGCAGAGGGGTCATTGTGCCAGAAACCATATGTTTGGAACATACGTAAATATTCATTATCTGTGCCTTTTCAGAAGAAGTGTGCTGACCCCTGGTGTATAGCATTGTGCTAGGCACCAGGAGAGTGAACAAATGAGGTTCCAGATGAAGGGCTTACACAGTAAGTTGGTTTCCATCTCCTGCCTTAGAAGCCTACTGATCTTAAACAACACAACACAGACAAAATCCCACAGCAACCGTAGCCCCAGGCATAATGTTCGACATCCTTGAAGCCAGGGATTGCAATCTCTGTTCTGTGGTACAGGGTGGCTACATCAGAGTGATGTAGGTGTTATTAAAAAGGCAGATTCCTGGTGCCTGCCCCCTGGAGAAGCATTTCTCAGGCGATTCTGACTACGAAACACAGCTCTACTTACTCAGTAAGTGATCAGCAGCTCAGCTGAGCTTCTTACATCCCTCCCTTGAGGCGATTTCAGATTCTTCCCAGGCACAAGTGATCCTTCTCACCCAAGTACCTTTCTTTAGAACCTTAGAGAAAGAAGTATTCTTAACCCCTTTGTTTCCAGCTGCCTAGAGATTCTAGAATTCTACTTCCTTGGACTTAATGCCATAAAGTCCTGCACTCTTGAGTTTTGAGGCAGGGGATGACTACCTTCTGGGCCTTCCTACCTCTTTTTTTTTTTCTCTTCCTCAACAGTCCTCCTTGCTACTTGAGTGAGAGCTCTTCTCTAAAGCAATGGTCTCCAAACTTTGTCACAAACCCTACTGTCATGGATTGAATTGTGTCCCTCAAAAATTAAGTGTCAATTTGTCTAGGCCATGACTCACCGTGTTGTGTGATTGTCCACCATTTTGTGATCTGATGTAATTTTCCTATGTGTTGTAAATCCTAATCACTGACTGTGGTTAATGAGGCAAGACTGGGTTACGTTAAGGAGGATTAGAGTAGGATACAACACCCATACTCAGGTCACAGCCCAGCCCTGATTCAATGTAGGAGTTTCCCCAGGGTGTGGCCTGCATCATCTTTTATCTTACAAGAGATAAAAGGAGAGAGAAGCAGCAGAGAGAGAGGGACCTCATACCACCAAGAAAGAAGTGCTGCGAGTGGAGGGTGTCCTTTGGAGCTGGGGTCCCTGTGCTGAGAAGCTCTTAGACCAGGGGAAGATTGATGACAAGGACCTTCTCCCAGAGTTAACAGAGAAAGAAAGCCTTTCCCTGGAGCTGCACCCTGCTTTTGGACTTCTAGCCTCTTAGACTGTTAGAGAATAAATTTTTTTGTTAAAGCCAGCCACTTGTGGTATTTCTGTTATAGTGGCACTAGCTAACTAAGACACCTATCAATAAAAAAAATTGAGCATGTACGCCCAATCCAAACCAAAACCAGTTACTTCCAGCCAATTCTGACTCATGATGACCCCGTGTGTATCAGAGTAGAACTGTGCTCCACAGGGTTTTCAATGGCCAATTTTTTGGAAGTAGATTACCAGGTCTTTAATGGGTGGACTTGAACCACCAATCTTTCAGTTAACAGCCAAGTGTTTAACCTTTTGTGCCGCGCAGGTTACCCCCAGTAGATATATATTAAATTATAAATCACACTCATGTACTTCTGTACTAATACATCATGTAAATTATAAACATACTCAAAACTAAAATTTGAAGAGGATGAGATAGAAGTGAAATTAACGTTTAAAAATTTTAGTAACACTGCAAAATATCTTTGCCATAATTAAATTATTATTATTAATAAAGTATTTTTAGTGAGATCAATATGATTAAATAGGATTTATTATTTTTTAAAACTTTGGTTTAACACTTCGTAAATCGATAGTCAAAAGGTTGGTTTCAAGTTACATTTATTTCCATCCTGGGATTTAATGGCACATATGAAAATTATGTCCCATTGAGATAGATATGTAGACCTAAGTAGAAGTTCATTATTGACTGTATATAATCATTATATTCTTTTCTTAAATTCTATCTGTCGATTATGCAATGGTTTTGTGGAAATTTATCTAATAAATTTTTTATTTTTCCTGATGTCAATCTTTGTTCTTGCAACTTAATAAGAAGTTCTTGCAGTTTCATATTTTTAATAAATGGTCTCAAAATCTATCAAGATTCTCTTTTGGAAGATTTTGAAGCAGATTGAAAAATTATTTTGAAGGTTTTAAAAGTATGAAGACATATGATTTGATTTTTAATATAAATTCTCAAAACTCCAAAAACATGAAAAGGATATTTAAAAATTCTGCTCCTATCCCTGTCAATTAAGCCCCAATTGCCTTCCTAAAGGCAACTAATGACGTCACTGTATCACTCCAGAGGCATGTTATGCATATACAAGCAAATAGGTCAATGTATTCTTTTATTTTTCTTCTTACACTATTTCTGTACCTAATGTTTTAAATTTGATGAGATATTTTAGAAATCTACTTTTATGACTGTATAGTATTAAATTGTGTGGATGTAACATAACACATTTAGCCAATTTTGTATTGATGGACATTTAAGTTGTTTCATTCTTATATTATAAACATATTACAATTAATAATCTTGTACATTTGTCATTTTGCACACTTGCAAGAGTATCCGTAAGATAATTTCCTAGTAGTGGAATTGCTGGGCCAAACAAAGAGTAGGTGTTTTTGTAATTTTGCTAAATATTGTCAAATTGTCTTCCACATGGGCTTCTATCAGGAAGATGAGGATCTTTTCCCATTGCCTGGCTGGCACACGGTGTAATCAAACTTTTTAATCTTTGCCAGTCTGATGGATGAAAGATGATATCTCAGTGTAGTTTCAAAGTCTACTTTTCTCATTTCCAGCTGGTTAAATATCTTTTTTTATGTTTAGGAGCCATTTGTAGGTCTTTCTCTGAGAAC